TGAAGGCTACCCTGACCAGGATTATGACCTGGTGGGGGCAACGTGCGAAGGTTCGATGGATTGAGGAGGGAGATGGGAACACATGGTTCTTCCACAACATGGCGTCGGCGAGAAAGGAGGACCAATCTCATTGATCAGCTCAAGCTCCCGGATGGGAGGATGGTTACTGATCAGTCTCAGATATTGAGAATTATGGAGGATTTTTTCCAACGAAAATGTGAGAACAATAATATCATTGACTGCGTGTGGCCCTCCCTTGATCTGCACTTTGCTTGCTTGCAGCGGCTGGGCATGTCTCTGGACAGCGAGATCACCCGTGAGGAAATATGGCTAGTGGTGAAGTCGATGGGCAAGAATCATGCCCCTGGACGTGATGGTGTGACGGCATCCTTCTTTAAATCTTTGGGACATTGTTGGTGAGCAGGTCATCTTGGCGTGCTTGGAATTTTTCTCTTCAGGACGGATGGAGCCTGAATGGAAGGATACTGTTGTGGTTTTATTGCCAAAGGGTAATAATGCGGACCATCCCTCTAAATTTAGACCGATCAGTCTCTGTCAAACAATCTATAAGGTCATTGCTAAGATCTTAGTCAACCGCATCAAAGGAATATTGCCGTCCATTGTTTCGGAGGAACAAGCGGCCTTTGTGCCAGGGAGATAAATCTCTGATCACTGTCTATTGGGGCAGGAGATTATGAACATGTTCAAGGTCTCCAAGTCTGCTAAAGGATGGCTGGCGTTGAAAGTCAATATGGTGCAAGCCTATGACAAAATGAACTGGAGAACACTGGAGGTTGTGCTGATGAAGATGGGTTTCGCCCAAAGATTCCGATCGTGGGTGATTTGATGCATCACTGCCCCAAGGTTTGTTATTCTGGTGAATGGAACCCTTACGGAAGAGATAACGGCTGGCTGTCCCGTCCTAGACGCCTGGGTGGTCTCGGTTTTCATGCCAGCAGCAGCTGGACGGGGCCACTCCGTGCAAGAATTGCCTGGGATTTCATTAACAAGCCCCATAATCTTTTCCAAAGGTGTATGAGGCACAAGTATGGCGCTTGACCATGGAGGATGGAATAGAAAAGAGGAGAATCGAACGGGTGGAAAATTATCTGCAATGGGGCCGAAAGTTTGGTTGGCTCTCTCAGGTGGAAGGTCTGCAACGGTGAGGACATTGACATGATCAATCATGTGTGGATTCAAGACTATGCCATTTTCTCTTGGCCGACTTTCTGTAATATCGAGCTTGCTGAGGGCAGCCGGGTGGACGAGTTCATTATGATGGGTGGAGAATGGGACCGGAACAAGCTGCGACATTACTTTGGGAAGAGCCTCGTTGAATTGATTTGTGAGGTGAAAATTTGGTCAGAGCTTCATGCCGACACCCTTGAATTAACCAAGAGCACGTTGGGCACTTCATTATCTGCCATTTGCTACAATGCGGAGTTTACGGGGGAGGAGGACCAGGTTTGTACCATTTTAGATATGCATTTGCGACCCCGTGAGAGAGTTTTCTAGTGGAGGATCCTCAAGGACCTTATCCCTACTCTTACTTAGCTCAACCGTCGGGGCCTTGGGGCTCGGCTCAGCTATCCGATGGGTTGTAATCAGCATGAAAATCTCGATCATGTTACAACGCAATGTCTGCAATTACACAAGATCCTGAAGCGTCTGGACGAGTGGGGCTTTGTTACGCCCAGATTTACGTGCTTTATGGATTTGAAGGATGATCTGCACAGAGGACTTAGGACCAAAGCCTATTGGACAAAGATCTATTGCTCGGTGGTCTTCTATAGCTGGGGAAACAGGAACGCTACTCACCATGGCAAGATGTTGAACTCCATCACTGGGTTGGCTGCTATGGTTCTCGGTTCCACTAGCCATGGCGTGTTTTAGAATAGCTTGGAGCAACGGTTCACTCTTCAATCCTTTGGATTGTTTCAGAACGCATCTTGGTGTCCCCCCCCCTTCAGGCTGGTTGAAAATCAACGTGGATGGTGCATTGCAGAGGAATAATGCAGGCGGCATCGGAATCATTATAAGGGACTATCAATGCAATCTGGTTATTGCGGCTGGTTGGAAAGTCTCGCATTGGGATAGCACGCAGGTTGAGCTAATGGCCATTCAATATATCGATCGGATCACTCAAGACTGGATATTTGATCGGGATGGAGTCATTATCGAGGGTGATAATGCGAGTGTGATTGACTTCATGCATAAATGCCATCATACCGAGACTTGGAAGCTGAGGCCGGAAGAGAGTGAAAGATTTAACTGGCTTAAATCGTTTCATAAGGTGCTTTTTATTCACACTAAAAGGGAGTACAACAAGGCGGCTCATTTTTGCACTCAAAGAGCGATTGAGGATAGTTTGTTTGGGATATAGGAGATAATAGATACACATGTATTCCTCAAGATTTTTTGTCCATCCTTGAGGATGATAGAAATAGTTTTACCCCCTCTTAGAGGCTTTTGGTGTTTTGGGTTCTTTTTATAATTGATTTTAGATGAATGCAAATGCAAAATTCAACTCTCTCCTTATCTCTCTCTCTCTCTCTCAGACACACACACATATTCTCACTCTTCTCTCCTGCCTCACACCCTCTCACTCGCGCTCTATCTTTGTCTCTCCATCTCTCTGTCTCTCTCTCTTTCTCTCTCTCTCTCTCCTGCTCACTCTCTATCTCTCTCTCTCTCTCTCTCTATCTCTCTCTCTCCCTCTCTCTCCCTCTCTCCCTCTCCCTCTCTCTCTCACACACACACATATTCTCACTCTTCTCTCCTGCCACACACCCTCTCACTCGCACTCTCTCAATGTCTCTCCTCTCTCTCTCTCTCTCTCTCTCTCTCTCTCTCTCTCTCTCTTACTC